CATATATATTCTATGCGCGCATGTGTTCAAATACTTAATATTATTTAAATTTTTACAATCTAAATATCTGATTCTTAAATACCTATTATATATATTGTGTGTATACTACAGTGTATACACACTATATATATATATATACATATCTATATATATGTATATATATAGAGCGCGCGGTGGCTTTGTTGGCAAGGTCGTGGATTGGCACATGGGAGACCGTGGTTCGATTCCCGGCCAGTGCGACTTTTCGGGCAAGTACCTCTGTGATTTTTCACATGTGCTTTTTCACCACGCAATACTCCTCGAGGAGGGTTTAGGCGACCTTCTCGCAGCAAAATTGCCTATTGACGACGGCTTATTGACGACGACGACGACGATGACGAATTTACAGAGATAACGTTCCTTTCCACAGCTTTTCTCGCCGTTAGTAATTTATAAAGTACTTTTTTCACTTATACATGTGATGACTTCAACGTTCTAGAATACGCTGACCAACGTACTTTGCATGACCTATATTTATAGCAAAATGTGAAAACCTTAGCTATACAAACCAATGTTTATAACTATATCTTTATCGATAAAAACACATGTCAGAGTTCATATTATCTTTATACACGTGCTTCGTATTTAGCTTGTCTTGACAAAATAAAACTTAAAGATTAATATTACCTCTTACAAGGTGTTTTAGTACTTTTGCGTATGGCTGTCAAATATAGAAGCAGTCCACATTTTTATATCTCCCCGTGCAGTAGATAGCTTTCATATCATCCTGCTTTTCACCAGATATGTCATCAAAAATCATAAAAGAGTTAAGTAATGCATTATCTGGAGATGCTACTGCTTTATGCTCACTAAATGCTTATTGTACGTCGTCTATGGGCTCTAATAGCTCTTCCAAAAACTTTTACTTTGGCCAATTAAGTGACTTTGAGTACAAATACATCTTTTCAAACCTTAGTCTGTTAGGATCTGTAACTAGTGTTACTAGACTGTTTGTTTTATCACAGTTAAGTGGACCTCATAATACGACTTGTATACTATTTAGGAGTAGTTCACTGTGCTAGTTCAAACGTTTTACCTGTATCAAAACAGCGTCAAAGTTTGGAATTTGCAATATTACCGTTTACTTTTGAGTTTTGGGTCTGAACAGCACTAATGCTACTAAAATGCTATATATTATCTCTAATGACTATAACATAAATTTAAAATAAGATGTTTATAATATATGTCGTACCTGTAAAATTTTATTTTAGTCTGTACGCTTCTAGAAATTTGTATATGTTTGTAGAATGTCTTGTTTACGTGTAAGATAGTTAAACTGAAAATCCAGGTCTTCGTACTACGCAATTTTTATGTTTTTATGTGCGTACCGACCTATAAATTCGATGTTGACACCTTTGTCAAGTTTGACTGATTGAGAAGGGGTTAGCTCACCAATCGACGAAACGTCCCTTGTACAAGAAACCCAGTGTTTATTATTTTATTTGTCCCTGGTGATCAACAAAATTAATAGTTATATTCACTATCATGTTAGGCATAACTAAGTTTGTTACAAAATCTGCATCATTGTTTGTGGAAAAAGTTGACATATGTAAAAAATCACAAGTTCTTTACAAACTGCATTGTTCTGCTGTATTGCAATCCTTTTTCCAATACTATAGGCGTGATATATAATAATAATATATGTAAATAACGTACTTCGTTTGTAACCTACATCATGTAGATGACCCATTGACTTTTTCGACGGTCTCACTATGTACGGTTTTCACATATGATTTTCTTTGTTCAAAAACATTTACAGATTTACACAGTCTTGAAAGAGCTCATAATAGATATGCTGAGTGCATTTAAATTTATAGTAGTGTATATTCGTTTTTTCTAATTCACATTTCGTAATATAAATAAGCACTCAGTAATTAAATTTAATGCATGCACTATATCTAAAAATCCTAATGTGTCAATTCACAAACTCACTTATTTTAATATATGCCTTTTTAATAGTGCTTGAAGAATCTGCTGTTACAATGAAAGAAGTTTTGGCTAGTTTACCAGGTTTTACTATTAAGTCGAACCGAAGACGTTCTAGTAAAAAGTTATCTGTAGCAGCACAACTAGAAGCTGGCCTAGTTGATTTAGAATCTCCAGCAAGTATTTTAACTAATACAAGTCTTAGATCACTTCTCAATAGACACACGTTTCAAGGATTACCACCTCTTTATCAAAGAAAACTCGCTCAACTTCTACCAGTGGTAGATCGACAGGTAAGAACTTAGAATTTTTGATTTTAATCTTTATCCTGATCAAATTATAATTAAAAGGAAAAGATTTTTTTCCTGTAGTTTTAAATTAATGCTCATCCTTTTTAGTTAGCATTTGATTAAATTTAAGTGATAATTTGGAACTTTCTTTTCATGTACAAGTGCAGATTTGTTCATTTGTAATTAAGAATTTGAATTTAAAATAATGCATAGCAGAAGTTTAAAACATTTGATACTTTATTTTGATACTCGCAAGTTGAATCGGCAAAGGTGAATTCGCAGTCCAGCAATGTATGGTTTTTTTCATTCAAATCTCACCCTTAACGATCAAGAAAATAACATAGGAGAGACGGCATTAAGGGTTACCAATACATTGACATCACTTGGAAATTAAAAATATAATTGTAAATAAAATCAACTAAAGTACTAAACGAGTTCTTTAACAACCGAGGAACAAAGTTCACTCACTTATATAATAATTATTAGCTGAAGGCGGTAATCACGAAAAAACATAAAAGTCTGGTGTCTCAAAAAATTTAATGAATTAAAAACGTTAGTAATTACGTGATTACTGAAATTAAAGGTATTTTAAAAAAAATATACGATTAGAGTGACGTTTGTACTCGTATAACCTCAAAAAAAATTTTGGTGCAAAATATGACATTGCATTATCAATAGAAAATAAAAATTGCCCCCTTGGTTTGTAAACAAATTCATCCTTGTCTTTCTGCTTGTTGAAACTACAAATATGTCGTCTCTAAGTTTTATAAGGAACGATGTGCTTTTAAGCAGCATTTCTAATTTTCTCGTCATTCATTACCAAATTAATTGCATTTTGCGAGTCTTCCGCAGACCACGATTGTCTTTTAGTCTTTTTAATAAATGTCCTAACCATAATATAGTAACCACAACAAATCATGTTTAAACTTAAAATAAACTTAAATCTAAGTTAGAATAAACGAGGTATTCTACTTTGACTACATGTCGCAGTCTTCATCAGTCGTCTGCTTTGCTTTCGATATCGACCCATACAGCTCCGCGAGACGGACTCACACCGCCTCATAAGTCACTTTTATTTACATCGGTTACTAATAGTTGATAGGGGCAAAAAATAATTTGTTTAAGGCATTAAATTAGAATACACTAGTTCATCTATCGATATCAGTACTTATAAGTCACCGAATAATAACGTTTACTACTTTTCTCGCTCAATAAATTTGGTTAAATTTCTTTGTTTTTGTGATGAAAATTTCAATTGACAATAAAAAATTTCTTATTTGATTACCTATGTGACTTTTATTGTCATGCATTATTATTGGTTAAAACGTAAAGAAAAGAAAAATTAAGACTATAGTTAGTAAGTTTTACAAATATAGCCAAGACCCATTTTCCCCAGTGACCCATACAGTCCCGGTCTCTCCTATATAATGGAATTAATTTTGCTAAGACTGTCAGATCTTGATTATATCTTTCTCAATAATTTAAAAATCTTACCACCTTAACACAATTGTATCAAGCTTAATTTTGGAAGTCCAATTCCTCTGAAAATAACAAGAATTTTTTATTAATGAAAGCGTATAAGTGATCGAACGGATTTAAATTACAAAAAATGATGTTTAGTAGATGTCATTTACATATATTGTTTGAAGAAAAATTTACTATCAAGCTCTTCAGAATTGCTGACTTAGTAAAGTTAAATTTTACATGTGTACAATAGCTGATTAGTAATTAAGAAGATAAATAATTTACTCTCCGGAAAACATTGTGAATTACTTTTTATTATTTTTCCACTTCTGATTATCAAATCATCTAGTGTTCTTATTATTTATACTTTTTATTATCACTCTTATCACAATCGTTTAACAGTTTTAATTTATCGATGTCACATGCTGCAATATCATATTTGATACATTCATAAACAATTTTTATTTATAACTCACGTTTACAAAATTTTTTAATATTAAGATAAAAAGTTCCAAGAATTTTCATGGTTATAAAACGATACAATGCAAAAATTTGTATTCCAAACACTTTTAAACCTATACCCATTCGTTAAAACAATCCTTGTTGTTTTCAGAGGACTTGGATTTCTTACATTAAGCTTGATAAGGTTATGTCAAGTTAGTGAAATTTTTAAAATTAAAGAGAAAGTAATCATTGAGATTTGTCAGTCTTTAAAATTAGTTCCACATTTGTGAGACATGCTATATATATATATATCATATGTAAAAAATCACAAGTTCTTTACAAACTGCATTGTTCTGCTGTATTGCAATCCTTTTTCCAATACTATAGGCGTGATATATAATAATAATATATGTAAATAACGTACTTCGTTTGTAACCTACATCATGTAGATGACCCATTGACTTTTTCGACGGTCTCACTATGTACGGTTTTCACATATGATTTTCTTTGTTCAAAAACATTTACAGATTTACACAGTCTTGAAAGAGCTCATAATAGATATGCTGAGTGCATTTAAATTTATAGTAGTGTATATTCGTTTTTTCTAATTCACATTTCGTAATATAAATAAGCACTCAGTAATTAAATTTAATGCATGCACTATATCTAAAAATCCTAATGTGTCAATTCACAAACTCACTTATTTTAATATATGCCTTTTTAATAGTGCTTGAAGAATCTGCTGTTACAATGAAAGAAGTTTTGGCTAGTTTACCAGGTTTTACTATTAAGTCGAACCGAAGACGTTCTAGTAAAAAGTTATCTGTAGCAGCACAACTAGAAGNAAGTTGTTTTTATGATGATTAAGTGACAGCAAAGATTACCTCACTTTTTTATTAGTTCATTAATTAAATAAGTTAATTGTTTTTGAGCATGCGTTGGCATTAAGTCAATCACCCACTTTTCATTCTATTTAAAAAAATTAATTGTTTTTCCTTGGCTCAGTGGTAACCGTGCTCGTTATGGATTTAATGCTGTTCTAGGGGTCTTGGGCTCAATTTCCTGTAAGTACAGATTTTTCGAATAACTTTTTTTACTGGAAAAAGTTTCTATGAATTTCGGTCTGTTTTAGGGGAGGTTTTTCCGTAAAATTTTATGTCAAAATAATTTTCTTGTTGAATTTTTTCCTTGTTGAACAGGTCTTCGAGCCTGGGTGAATGCGCAACAGTATTAGTGATACAGTTAAAGATTAGCCTGGATGCGATGCTTAGACTGTCGCGGTACTTAACCTGGTAAAACATAAAAAAAAAGAAAATTAATTATATCTTTGGCAAGTAAGTATCAGCTAGCAAAATCTAATCGATTCTCAGTATTGTGAAAAACAAAGTGACAGTAGGCAATCAAACATTGCTGCTAAGCAACATGACAGTTTTGATATATCATTTATAGATAAAATAGTACCATAGGCTAGCAGTAAAAAAGCATCATGAGCGTAGCGTTATTGGCTGACTCGTGATTCCCTGGTCGAATACGCACCAGGTGAAACCCGATTTTTCCTAACAAATAAATTGCTGAATTTCTCATTACCGACACTTGCTTGCCATAAAAATAATTCATTTGATGGTAAATAATTCCGGTAGTAAACAATTTGAACGAAATTTCTATTGTAGTAGAAACTATGACGTACTTAACTATTCGGTATGCATTTTTAGTATTGCTTTTGATTACAAACTTTTGCTCTATTAATAAGAAATTTTTATCTTTGCTGTTAATGTTGAAGATTTAATCTCTTATAATACCAGAAAAATAGCAGCACATTAGGTATGTTGAAAAATTTTAAAAGATATTGACGATTCTTGGATTTATAATGTTGTATTACCCTTCCACAATGGATAAACATATTGTTAAAACGACAAAATTTTAAATAATATGAAAGAATAGGTCACAGTTCACCACAGCGCTAACTACTTAACTCATAAAAAAGTAAGTAAACCTCATAATAATATTTTCTACAACTTTCCAATAAATGTCAAAATAATATTAGAGAAGGCTTTCCGCCACATAAACTACATTTGAAAATTAACTGTATTGTCACTTTCATAAGAAACTTAGGTATTGATTAAGGTCTTTGCAATGGTACACGTTTAAAAATAACTAAATTATTTGAGTAAAATATGAAAGCAGAAATTATTTCTGGTGCAAAAGGAGAAAACAAGGTTTTTGTTTCACAAATTACATGAAACACAGGCAACTCATTATCATTACCTTCAATTTTGTATAGAAAACAATTTTCATTAAACTGAGCTTTCTGTATGATTATTAATAAATCTCACAGTCAAAATTTTGATTTTGTAGGATTTCATTAAAAAAAAAACGTTGACTTTCTCATGATTTTGCTTCTTAACGTTAATTTTCTCACGTTGCACTATCTAGATGTAAGAATAAGTCTATTAGAAATAAATCAGAAACAGAAAATATTGAATAAAAAGAATATTTCTTAACCACTTAATTTACAACAGAAATTCAACATAATATTTTCAATTTTTTTGTTCAATGATGATTATCTTTATTTTGCGTATTTCTTGAATTCTATGTCAAACACCTCTCTTTATCGTAGTTTTTCGGACTCCTCGCTATGAAATTTCAAATATGAATATCAAAATTTTATTGTTGACATTATTCATATTTGAATTATAAGTGCTACGTTTAAGTTTTTATATTTAGACATGCTTTTTTTTAGTATGCATTAAAATGATATCTAAAAAAATCACTTTAATCGATTTTTTATTGAATAAAAAAAAATCAATGATAATTTTATTATTCACAAATTATGCTACCAATTTTAAATGTTGTCCTTTACTTTTTATAAACGATTTCTTGTTAAATATTACAAACTTGTGTTAAAAAATAAAACACTCAACGTGCTTCAGCAGAACCTTGTAGGTGGTGTGAAAATGCAAAAATATGTTACAAAATAAACATTCCTTTGTTTTTTAAAAAGAATAAGATTATAAGACGTAGAATAATCATTGGAATTATCAAACTCAGGATTGACGAATACTTTTATAACATGATTCTCCTAATTACTGTTAAAA